TTATTATTCAACTTGCTTTGTAATCATTCATTCAACTGAAGATGACAGAAGCTCTGTCGAAACATGTCTTGCAAACTTAAAAAATTGGTCGTTTTCCAGAAAAATAGATATTTTCAAGGGACTTAGACAAGTCAAACATAACTCGTCCTCAATAATAAAGTTCATCAGGTTTGATGCTCCTTGCAACGAATTAATTTGATCACTCGCAGAAATGCTTCCATGTCTATACCTACTAAATTAAACTTATGAAGACATGATTGATAATCGTAGTTATACAGACAACGTAAGCAGTTGAGGAACTAAGGCCTGAAAAAAATTCAGGCCTGAAAGGGATTCGAACCCATGACCCCTGCGATACTGTTGCAATGCTCTACCAACTGAGCTATCAAGCCAACTGGGAATCATGCTCATGAAGCTAATCATGGCTTCATATTTCTCTCCGCAGTTCAAATATATGATCTTTCATATCAGTTTACTTGTAAAGTTAACTTACTTGTGTCCAGTTTCGTGTAAAATAATTCCGGCGGTTTGCAGACCCATGTATCCGTTCACATTACCAGTGACCCTGTATGAGCACATGCCACCAGCTAAGGCTAGACCTGGGAGTAAGAATTAAAGTCACTACCTGAAGCTAAGGGCGAAATAGTAAAGACGAGTACAAAGACACCTTTTATAACGTGCAGATACTACGGAATAAATCATGTTCACTAGAAATATTAACGGCTGGTTACAAAAGAACTACAAATTCATTCGTGTTAATCGTATTTGGGCGTGGGTCACATAATTGTCAGCTGAAATTTACAACAAAAACTAACACTGCTTCAGTAAGTAAATAATCAAATAATAAATAAATAACATAGTTACCTCCACCAGGCCCACTGTACAGAGGAAAAAGGGAGAAAGAAAATGTCAGCCGGTTGCTGTTGACAGTTAACATTTATATACAAACTATACAGTAACAATAAATACCTCTTACTAACCGAGTTCGAGGGCCGTACTGTAAGTTACGGACCGAGTTTTTTTCCCCGTCGATTTATCCAAGGGGAAATACGAGGATCCATAACTTAAAATACGGACCAAGAAGACGAGGTTTGTAAGATATTTATTACATCTCTACCGTGTGTCTTACGGGTCAGGAACGATTTCTATTCGCGCGGGACGACTCCAAATTTCTGACGTACCTCGAAGACAAAACGAGTCAATTAGAAATCGTTGTCAAGTGGCTCTGAAGTCGTTAGCACAATTTCAGAAGTAAAAGAAAGTTTTAAACTTTTACTTGCCGTAAAAGTTAAGAATACTTGGCTATAAATCACTAAACATTTTGGAAGCAAAAACAGCTTTGAATTTTAGCGGGCCGTACAGTAGAATACGGCCCTTTAAATTGACCAATCACAGCGCGCTCACCAACTGAGAGATAATAACAGTCTTCATTTTCCCTATTCGTTCTTACTTCTAAGTTCTAAGTTACAGAATTTTACGGATGGGCTTTTCAAGGAGAGTGCGTAATTTTTTCTATTTATTCATAATTAATTTTCAAGGAAAAGAAAACAAACAAACGATAAGTTGCTTCACAAAGCAGGGTAACGAACCGGTTGGTCAAAATAGAACGGCAAATTGCCGACTGACTAGCTCGATTGATCAAAAAGGGCCTCCGTTAAAGGTGTTCTTTTTTTTCTGGAAGTTTGCTTCAACCGAAATTTTTCAGAATTTTTGGCGTAATGGAAAGCACCCTAAATCTACTAAGGAAGTTCTTTTTGCAACATTTGTGACTTACACATGAACCAGCGAGATGTCATCAAAGTACAGCGGATCACTTTTGTTGACAGGTTTGTTCTTGTCTGCCCACTGTCTTATCCTCCACAGCTTGTCTCCATTGGAAGAATCATGCTTTACGTTTAGCTAAGAGAGGAAAAAATTCCTGAATAGTCCATATAAATCCTTTTCAAAAAAGAAACCTTAAGTAAGTAGAAAGACTGTTTATATATAGCCTTTAATTCATTCAAAGCTATTTGCAGTGCAATCTGGACACCTCGAGTGCATCCTTTAGCCTGACCAAGGAAATATCACCGAAGATATGCTGTAAAATACAAAAACTAAGATAAAGAAGCAATAAAAGCGATTGCTTCTGAAATATATATATTTTTTTCTTTTAAGAAAACGAATAAAAAGAAGATCAGTAAGTCGAACTATGGCAACTAATAAAGCTGAGGTGGAGCTACTATAGGAAACGTTTTAAAGGCGTCATTGTGTGTCTCTTAAAAACGATAAAAATTAACTAATGAGCATGCGAGAAACTTGAGTCATTGTAAAATATCAGGTCTTAGTTTTCATTTGACTTCATCGCGGCCATGTTTGAAGTCATCAACAAACGAACATTTCAAATCGGTCTCTTTTGTTTGTGCCACCAACATGGTTGTTGTGTAATTGCGCCCGGTTGCAGACCGCTACCTATATTCGCAGTCACAATGCAGCTTGTAGGCTCTTGAGCGGCAAGAGGTCTACTTGGTACTCAATACAAACAGAGCGTGTGGCGATTAATTTTTCTTCTGGGATTTATAGAAGCGCAAAAGGATTCCACTGACGTTTTGAAAATAAATGAAGACAAAGATTAGGCTTACGTAGTCAAATTAACATTTCGTAATGGAAAACAACAGGTGTACACGAATGGCCCAACAAAATAAAAAGCCTGTCGCAAGGTTGTTTATTCCAAGCTCAAAGCTTATGAAGGTAATAAAGCAAAAATATTACAGACTGAGCCATCCCACAAACGGTTTAATTTTATAAAAATATGCCAAATGATTTAAACTTCAAACGTCGAGCGAAAACTAATTAATAACGCACTACAAGTGTTTTTAACAGATAAAATCGAAGAGAAATAATTCGTTCAAGGGCCCGATGTCACGAGCCTGGCGAACGAGGCACAAAACATACATGTCACTATACATTTTCATTTGTAACACTTTCTTTTACAAAATTTATTTTTAAACTGAAAGTATTTATGTGTTCATATCGAAAAGCGCAAAATTACATCATGATATAAGTTAATCTTATTACAAGACACCTTTTCACCAGTCGAAATGAGTAACAACACATCTACAATGAGCAATTTAAATAAAGAACCGACAATTCAGACACATATCCGGACTAAAAGTCGGACTCCCTGTGAATATCATAACATTCATTCGTTGCATTGAGACCCGAATTCAGCGATTTTTGTAATTGTTGGTGGTGTAAACGACTGCTATACAAATGGTTCTTAGATGCTAACTCAAAAAAGAAAGCTGATCAGTACTCAATTGCAAATCCCATTTTAAAAAAATGTGCGGCCAGCTTATCATCGCGCAGGTAAAAAAATATTATGAAGTAATCCCAAAAAGAAGGAAGAAAGTTTTACCAGATATAATATTCAATTATTTCAAGCTATATATATTAAGTTAATTTTCTGATTTATTCTAAATCAACGGAAACCTCCAAAGGTTGAATAACACCAAAAAAGTTATAAAAACCTTGACTATTTTTTTCGAGAATTGCCTTCCGGGAGTCAGCTCCATTAGATATACTATAGGCCGCTGTTGTTGGAAAGAACTGTGCCTTCTTTCATAAATATAAAGAATATGATAGTCACAGCGCATTTTTTAAGCAATTTCTTTATACTGTTTCAATCCTCCGCAGTAGGTCGCCATTGTGATGTTTTAAGGTCTATTATTCGTTAGTACTCCTTTCGTTTATGCAACATTCCTTTGATTTGAAAGTATAAGGTATTAAGAAGGCATTATGTATTAAGAGCACAGCAAAAATGAAATGGGACAATGGTTTATTTTAACACGAATTATGTGTTTATAAAATTTTACTTAATAATTTTGCGAGATTTTGACTCATCTTGGCAGCTGTAACATATTAAAGTAGGCTGTTTCATTTTCTCCCCGTGTATCGTCAAGAAATAGAGCGACAGGAAATAACACGGATTTTTCCTCGTGCTCTTAAAAGCAGCCATTTTCTTTCCTCATTTACGGATTACTTTGCCCCACGATTTCAGCAGAAAAATACTGAGCAGAGAAAGAAGACGGTGGTTTCATTTTACTGTGGTAGCGATATGATCTTCTTATCAGTTGGCCCGAAAATATATTAACCGTTATAAACAAAATAATAAAGCATTGCCAATTTGTGATTAGGTATAAATCTGATTAAACCGAATGGGAGGGCGAATGAAGAATTCTTATGAAAAGGAATTAGCGTAGTTCTGAAAAGCAAAAACAAAATACATCTAATTCTGAATTTTATTAGATTTTTAATAAGAGAGATGGCTAGTGGGCAATCTCCCGTCGCTTCAGGTTAGCGCAAATATTAGCAATTTCACCTGTTATTTACATTCTAAATATTATTCAGAATTTTTCCTGAATTTCCATGAGACCACTACTTAATGATTGGTTGCGCTTAAATGCATGGTCCATACTTGTCCAACCCTCTTTGGGTATAGTTAAATTTACTTTTGTCTGAACAATAACATTTCATTCAGACTCGTCGACAGAGAACAGCTTCTCGTGGCACTATCTTTTGACGAGAAGCCTAAAGCGTTTACTAAATGATGTGTCTAGACCACTGCCATTAATTATTTGCCTGATAAGTGGTGCCGCTACGTGTTCCCGATTTTCGCCAGTCCGCACGACCTGTTATTCCCCTCCTCTTTGGCATATTGTAAAGTTAACGTTTTTGTCATTTAGTTAAAAGGACAAAAATGAACAGCACGTTGGCTGACACCGGGGACGACAACAACGGAAGGAGTACGTATAGTTCATGGAACAATACTCTTTCTGAAGCAGAAGGAATTGCATGGTGCACCGCCTACATGCTGGCATCTGTCTTCATTGTCGTCGGAAACTTGCTCACTATTGTCGCCTTTGTGTTAACGAAGAACCGATTCCGTAAGAAAAGTCTATTTCTTGTCATCAATATGGCATTTGCTGACTTAATGCTGGGAGCTGTCTCTCTACCGGTTTACATTTACATCATTGGTGTTGATCATTTTGGGCTGTGGGGAGGAACTATGAATAGGCTTTTGCATCTGTTCTACATAATCATAGACACTGTCTTCTTACAGGCGTCGACAATTTCTGCGGTATTGATGGCTGGCGAGCGATTTTACGCCGTTTATTGGCCGCTTAAACATCGAGCACTGTCAACAAGAACGTACCGCACTGTCATTGTTGCGGCGTGGATAACAACTCTCGTTGTATCCCTAGTTTACCTCGCATTCCTCAGCTTCATGTCTCAAAGGCATGCCATATACACCTGGATACCTTACGCCGTGATTGTGGCATCCGCCATATGCGGTTGTAACATCGGTGTTTGGAGAAAGTTTCGACAGGGTCGTCTCGTGTGGCAACACCAAAACAGAGTCTTACAAAACCAACGATTGACAAAGACTTTGCTTCTTGTATCCGTTCTGTCTCTGCTGTCTTGGCTGCCTCTGAGTATTGTCATATTTTTCATAGTCTCTGTCGATCATATCGCTTCAGGAACTTTCACCATTTATTACATTACCGTTCTGCTAAATTATTCCAACTCTTTCGTAAATCCAGTTGTGTACGCACTTAGAATCCCTGAGTTCAAACAAGTGATGGGAAAGTACTGCCTCAGAAGGCCAAACGCGAGATCCATAATGAGCGCGACCAAGATAAATACTAAAGGAATAAGTAGCAGGGCTAGCGCTGTTACGTTGACATCGATGCTAGTAGCTGTGGAAACCGCCCCTAATCAACCAGCGTTCGAACAAGAAATTGAGAACACCAAATTGTAACAAGACAGGATTTAAGGGCTGCATGCTTGTCGACGGTTTGTTTCTCTTTTTCGTATATCGTAGTATAGTATTTAATTAGTTCCTTTTCTGCTTAGCCCGTTTAATTCAAAGTAAATCCATTCTGAACTTAAATTTATGTTTTCTGCCCCCAAAAATGGTTCTGAATAAAGTGTAAATGGAATTAAAAGGGAAACAAATTAGATCAGTACAACAGCTCTATTTTAATGATTTGCTTTGCACTGTATCTAAGCCCGGAGCTATTTTTCTATTACTTTATAAAGCTAAGGTTCTACCTAAAGATCAGAGAGTGAAAGTACTAATTAATTACTGCCGTCATTGCTTCGCTGTGACTTTAATTAATAAGAAAAATCCTTCATTTTGATGTCAGATAAAAACGTGTCGTTAGCCAACAAAAGAAAGATCGATCATATTCTAAACGTTTTAGGCCGAGGTCTTTTTTGCATCAGAGGAATACTGAGGGAGCTGAAGCAAAGCACCACTACGACGCCAACGAGAATGTCATCAAACAAAAGGTTTAATGAGCAGAGCAATGACTGTATATTTCTTTGCCGTCCTCTTCAAAACAAGAACGAGAAATACGTAGTCTGAGGAATGCGAACAACGACGGCTAATTTTTGGTATTTCCATTTGGAATTGAGCGCTGTTATTGTATATTTAGCTTGAGCACGCTTTTACAGCCATTGGCGTACTGAACTGATCAAGACAATGGCGAATTTCGCTAGAAAAATGTAAATTCATTTCTGACTAGGCGCTGTCGTTGCTTAAGTTCCCTACTGAAGCAAATAAAACTGAAATTTTTGAGAAGGAAGGTGGGTGGGGCACTCAGTCGATTAACGATTACAACATGGCTTTATACGGAAGCAAGCAGTGTTGGTGTTGAGTATAGTAACCATTAAGTCAAAGTTGTACAAAGTTCTTTTGTCAGCTGTCTTAGCTTTTTGTCTTTTGCTATTCAAGAATCATCAATCCATCAATTTCGCATTGGAGGCAGTTGAGGGGATTTCCGGTCTCTCTTGAAGCAAGCAAGCAAGCAAGCAATAGCAACAAATAAGCTTTTCTTTTTGATTTCGCAAAAAAACATATCTTAACATTTTGGAAAATTGAGATCTCCAAACATTACGAAAGTTCTAGGTCGAAATCGAAAAAAAGCAAAATCTACACTCGCCGAAAGGTGGTAAAGCCATTAGCCTAATTTTGTCAACTAATTAGCGACTACAAACTGAAATAATAATACTTGTGTGTTATATGTATGCCCCATGTAAACTAAGCAGTCTTAGTCAATGTTTTTTGTTTTGTTTTGTTTTGTTTTGTTTTGTTATATAATTGCAATTTCTTTTTCGTGACTCAACTGTAATTATGGGACCGTAATTTGTGTAAGTCCGGCTTCTATGCCATTCGGAGAAACGGGAATAAAAGAAATTTTAAAAAAAACTGGATCATTGGATAATGTAGTTCAAGAGTACATTCATTGGCTTAGCCAACATGGCAATCAGAAAATGGCTTAGAAAATGGCTGCAATCAGGAAATGGCTGGTAAAGTCCGGCTAACAAACTCAGTATACCTAAGCCTAAGCGCTAAGTAAGGCTATAGGACCATATAGCGTGAGCAACCTTAACTTAGTCTCGCCAGAAAGTTATTTTCATTGGCAATGTTATAAAACAATGAATTCATGCTTTTAGCCGAACATCATCGAATTATGATACATTTGGGAATTTTAGAGAGTCCTCAAGAAGCCAGAGTCGCTCTCGGCTACGCCTCGAGCAAATCTTACACTTCTTTCCTGCTTTCCAAACTTCTCGTGCACATCATAATACGATGATGCACACTAAAGCATGAATCAATTATCATCGCAGCAAACAAAACTGTTGCTCTTCGGTGGCAACGATTTAAATGTCTTTTAAGAAATGCTGTGTCCAGAGACTTTAACTATTTGTCCGAGGTAAGTCTTGAAAAGCTGTCACCAAGAAATGGGCATAAGTGAAACCTAGGATGTTCTGTTATAGTTAAGATAATAATTAGTTATTGTGTTTCACAATCACTTGTCGCGAAATACTAAGCAGACGCGTTACTTTTAGATATTAAACGCGTATAACTAATAGTGTTCGTTTTAAGAAGTGCAAGACTTCTGTTGCTCTGTCAGTGGGAAATTATAGTCCAATAGTTATTAAAATAGCACTTCTACATTGTTAGAGCATTTTTTTAATAAAGGTTTTCAAATATCTTTTATGTTCAGAACTTACAGAACAAACAGTGACTTGCGATAAAGAAATCTATATTGTGTTTTAAGTAAATAAGTTTCAATACTCTCGGTAAAGATTGCCACTGTTCAAACTATGGTTTTGTACAGTGGGGAAGTATAAAGAAAAGCTATTTTCTTCTAGTTTTATTTTTTCTTTTGACCTTAGCTGAAAAACAATGTATCTAGCTTTATACAGCTTTTTACACTGAATATTCAGCCTACGCATAGTATATCTTTTGTGAAGTCCTGTAAGCACATTTATCTTGTATCTTTTGTAAAGTCTTGTAGGCACATTTATCTTGTAAAGCGGACTCTATTCATGCCTTCTAGATTGTCATTAGTTGCTTCTTTCAGGTTATTTAGCCGTCTCTGCTTTGTTCATAACATGAAGCAATCGTGTATTTCGTTAGCTGATACCGTGATAGAGTACTGTTATCCTCATAATAAGATTTACATCTCTGCGATTTTTTACGTCGAAGATTTAATCGTGAAGTTACGATGAATAAACGTGTGAAGTCGAAGTCCGAAAGCCCGGAATCTTTTCAGGCGCGAAAAACCATTTTTAGTTCATCGGTATTTAAAGACAGAGAGGTGTACAACTTCTTGTATGAAGAGAACCTCTGTTCGTATTAAGAATATATGAATAAAACAGCTCTGTAGTCAAAAGGTTTGAAATTTTGCTACGGCTTTTAGGGTTCGAAAACTTTTCGGGACCTTCGAGAAACGGGCCCCCGATTTCAGGTGCAGCAGATCTGACGCAAAATATCTAGGTCGACCATAGAAAAAACATATATAATAAATCCTTAATTAATATAATATCTTTGTCTCGCAGAGTTCATGTTGTGCCTTGTAAGCAATATCTGCCTATAACGTCTTCAATTCATCTCAAACCGAAACGGATAAAAATATTTGATAAAAATGAATTTCAGTTACACCTTACAGGCTTCGTTTCCTTTCTTCAATGGAATTCCAAGAAACTAATATGAATTAAAACTCTCATTTTTATAATAATGAAACTTTATTAAACACAAATCGGTTCCAAAAAAAAAAGAAAGAAAGAAAAAAAAGCTACTTACACTAAGAAAAAAAACACTACAAAATTCCCATCCTAAACCTTCAGATTTATAATGGCATTATTACCTCTTTATTGGTGATGATTATAAGGCGGCTGACCACATAATTCACTTTTATTTTTCCGATGGAATTGTCACGGAATGATCCAGCAACCTTAAAATTAAAACAACATCAGTAGATATTGTCACAACCAATAAACTTTTTAGACCAATAAACTGTTTAGAAAGTCTTTTTTGAGAGGTTTTCACAACTTGAATGTCGAAAGTAATAGACCTTATTCGTATTCTCGGCATTGGACTGGAACTAGCTTGCAATGGAGGCTCATGCGGGGGAAAATCATTAACAAGAGATAAATGTCGTTTTCATTTGAAAAGACTCCCCGCATTAGCCTCAGTTGCAAGCTAGTTCCAGTCCAATACCGGGAATACGAATATGACCTATTGGTTTTGCATTAGTACGCTACACGATTGGCTTAAAAAACTTGCGCCAATTTTTCATCCAATCAGAAGTAAAACCAAAGCCAGTCGTAACACTCGCTCTCGTTTTACCACGCTCTGCGTCAGCTACATATATTTACTGCGAGTTTTGATTGTTTCATTAGATTGATTTTTTTCCTTTTCTGTTTGGTTAGAGAGATTACTTTGGTTTAAGAACCGCTCTAAATCAGTCGTTATTGCGATTCTTGCAGAGTCACTTTTCTAAAACAACACTACGCCTTTAAAGAGATGCAGAGTTTGATGATCGAGACAAGGCAATGATCGACACAGTCACTGTTAGTAAGAATTCCGTCAGGGAACAAAAAAAACCTGACAGTCTGTGCGTTCTGATTTTAAAACAGAGTGATGAGTTTGTAATATAATGTCGTGATGCGTAGCAATAATGTTTAGAAAGAATGGACTCCCCAACAGTAAAAACACTACTTACTATGTTTGCTAAAACCAACAGGAAGTCTGCAGTGTGGTTTCCATGTTTAGCTGCGACATTCTCATCCGCCACAAGCGCCACTTGTAAGTACTTGTGTGCCACTGAACTAGAAGTGCTACTGCTGACGTCATATTTGTTGGCTGGGCCAATAAATTTTGAAGTGACATCTAAGACAAACACGTCACGTAACGAACAGAATTACATTGGTATACTAGTCGGTTTACCACTGCAAATAAGAGTCATCATTCAACCGTCCTTCTTTCTATAGCACACAAAATTATACTTATTATATAGATGCACCTGGATTCGATTCTGGACATATGAGACATTGAAAGAGTTGTGTTTCGTTTTGCTTTGTTTGACAAGATATTTTTGTTGTTATTCGTACCATTTACGTACCTGTTTTTGACATTTTTAGCTTAACATGTATCCCTGTACTAATCTTATCCCATTTTTGTTTAATGGTCTACCTGTTCTAGTTTCGCAATGAAGAGGCTCTGTTGATTTCCGGTAGACAAGATGCGGCTTGGCCCCACTTCCGGTGGTCACGTGCTTAGCCAGGTGGTCAGGAAGGGGATGAACGAAAAGCGTCTCAGATGAAAGTTTGATCATGCCTGTCTGAAAAAGAAG